ATATTTAAAATATATAAATATACATAATATATATAGTATACTTAATATTATGAATGATTTTATTTTGATTTGAAGCACATTTTGATGGTTAAAAATATAATTGGGTCATTATACTAAAAAAATAACTGTAACTTCTAACAGACATAAAATTAGACCAGAAAAATGTTTTAATTATCAAAATAAATCTGTTTATTATCAAGAGTTCAAATGACATTATTATATTTCTGCCGGGAAAAATTAATAATATCGGTACGTTGGTAAGTACATATTTTACTAAATTTAGATATTTCTCTTTTACTGGGGCCTAAATGTACCTCAAAACAACTGTATTTTAAATGTATTGAATATTTGAAAATAGCTGCAGTACACGTTGATTTTTCAACTCATTTAAATATATAATACTGAAGATAATAATAGTTATTTGATAAGTTGTCTTATAAGCAATCAAGTAGCACAAATCAGATGAAAAAAATTTCAAAGCATCCACTATAAATTCTAGCCATAACTGGTTATTGTATCAAGTTTAACGTGCAGACACCAGATACACATATATATATGCTATAAATATAGACATTTTACTATCTAGTTTACAAAAAAAATGGCATTCGCGTGCTTACTTCATAGAATTCAAACCTTGAAAAGTTGAAAACACTTTAATTTTGTTATTGGATAGCAATTTAAGTTGGTAAAAATGTTTTTCTATTTTATTGGTATTTTCTTGTAAATAACTAATGAGTCCTCCTGAAATAGTTGTATCATATTTATATATACATTCTACACGTCAAAATATCTATCGATATTAAACGAAAATCTTGAATTTAAAGTAGCGAGGAAATAATGAATTGTAAAAAATTGAATTGCAAGAGGTAATTTTTTTGAAATTTGTTTAGGTGAAGTGAAAAACTAAAAATATTTTTTCCAGGATTAACGTTATTTAAATTAATTCAAATTTCCTTAAACTTCCAGAACTAAAAAGTACTTGTTTTTCTGTCTTTCGTTGATGAGGTTCTTTATCGAGTTATTCGGTCTAATAGATAGTGTACAACCGTGTCCGCCACGGAAGTTAATAAGATAAAACTGAACTTGAATATTTTTATTACATTTTAAAGGTAATTTGTTTTTGAGCAATATATAACATGAATAATGTTAATACAAATTTACAAAATGAATTTATAAAAACTTCAAAACACGTTTAAGTTAGTCTTAAATAATTATTATATTTGTTACGATTATGATGAAATGTATGTGCTATTTTATTTTTGACGTACGACTTCGTAATACCCTACCTGCATGAGCCGGTATGCTTACAACGGCATTCCGTGATATGATTGAAAAAATTCAGATTTGGTTCAAACAAGTCACCTACGTACCACATTATCACATTGTCATTAAATTATTATTATTACTATACACTAAGCCACTCCACTTGTCTACTGAAAGGATCTTACTGAAAACAATTTACATCATATCTTGTTTTTGATATCATGCTGTATACTATAATTTAGATTTTGAGTAAATTGATGAATGTGATTTTTTTTCTTTTGTAAGCGTTTAGAGTGTAATCAAATTATAAAAGGACAATACTTAGACTTTCAACTTTTTGGGAAGTTTCTGATAAAAATTTAGATTTAGTCAGTACCTTGAGTGGTGGTCAAACGCATAAACTCACAGTACCTACGTTTCGAAATAATCGGCAAAAATATTATGGAAAAATGAGATTATTTATGTAAACCGGTATTCAACAAAAATGGTTTTGTTTTTTTTTTGGTTTAACTCAGACGAATAACATTAGATAATTGACATTTTCACCTATCAAATAATCCAATTTTAAAATAATTATACTCTGTATTAGCTCCATATTATAGACATATGACATATTTCAACATTTTTTTCTAAAAAATAATGTTTATAAAAAGTCCTTTGCTCTGTCAAAACCTTGAAAATGTAATACATAGGTTGTTATTATAGCCAAACATTTTATTAGATAACATTAAAGTTAGGATTTTTGCAAAGTCCATCAAAATTGCGAAGACTAGAAAGTTATTTAATAGTTAAAAATTCAGGATATTTTTATTATTCTTATGTGTGATTTGAAAATGTTGTGTAATATTCCAAATTCATTTTTATTACTGGAATTAAGAAAAATAATTGAGGGTCTAAGTAAAGCTACTAGTATTTTTTTTATAATGATGTGAGGTTCAAAATTTGATGACATTGGATATTCACTAGTTAAACAATAATTTCTCATCAGACGAATTTCTTATTTTGTTGTTATTTTAAAACGAATTACCATAGATGCTTATATTAGCATTGTTTATAAACATTATATTTTTAAAATATTTCGTCTCTTTTTGAACTATTTATAGACATGTTTCCTAGAATTTCTACAAATACTGTTAAAAAATATTTCACTTCATCAAAAACTTGTCAATTCAATATAAGGTTCTTCATTAATACATACATAGCAGTGACTCGCTCAACGACAAGATACACTTGACATTTGCAGTACAGCATAGTGGTTAATTACTGTTCCCCTTTTTATTTTTGGGAACACACTCACAGCAACCTCAATTTACAACTAATTGAACTTTTATCCTTAGTAAATATAATGCCTTTTCCCAAAAACACAATAAATAATATTTAAGTCCACCTGGTGATAAAATTCAGAAAATGTTGAAGAAATAACTTGCTGACAAATATAATTTGATTTAATGACCCAAAATGATATATAATAAGGACGCACACTGTATTACTATTCTTATTTAATGATTATTATTTTTTGGAGAGAACTAAAATTCCCGCCTAAATTAAGAATATTATTGAATTAAATAGTCTTTTGATTGAATAACAGCAATTAGGTAACTGTTATAAAAAAAAAATCTTGAATTTTCTGTAGTTAGATAATATAATATAAGAATAACGTTTATTGCAGAAACGTTAATTTTGTTTTTTTTTTTAATTTCGAAATATGAGCATGTGCTCAACACAAAAAGAAATATTCCATTTTTTATCATGGGATAACTTTTATTGTGATTAAAATCTTAAAATTTAAAAATTCACGAATATGATAAAAGTGACCCTTACTAACAGACATAATAAGTCGTATTATATTTTGTGTTTTACTTTGAAAGTATTGATCAATCATCACTTTCAAAATAATTCTGAGTGAGAATGGCTTACTTGAACAATTATAATAGTTTTATACCATTTATATATTTATAAATATATTTGGAAATACTTACTTTGAGTTTTGTATATATTTGAATACCTAACTGACTATTATAATTGGAATGATAAAAATGCAAAACCACAAATTTATTTGAGATAATTTAAAATAATATTGACATTACATTTATAAATTGTATACATTAATATTTAATTTATAAAATGAGTAGTAATTAAAGCTTGGAAATAATTGTACGTTGCTTAGAATTATTTTTAAAATACTGCAAATCAACTTCATTATAAATATTTTAGTTTATATTAATGCCTAATCGAATTCTAGTTAAAAAATAATGCCCATTAATTATTAACCTTATTTAATTATTTGATATTATTGAATTCTTTTGTGTAAGTGTAAATTTGATGAATATAATTCAATTTATAGTTGATGTTAAGTAATTTTAATAAATGGTAATAATATAATATAAAAGGAAATGGCTTTGGGTAAAAAATAGTAAGAAACTAATTAATATTTTTTTTCTAAACTTTTAATGAAAAGAAAAAAAATATTGACTTAACAATAACAGGTTCTTTTTGATCCTTCAATTATTACAATGTAGAAACTAATTATCTTACAGAAAAAGGCTAACTGGACAAGATTAATAATTATATTATTACTTTTTAGTTTTTAAAGCACTTTTAATTCAATAACTTTTCTCTGCGAATATATTTTTGAACGTTTCTAATTTTAATTAAATGGACATGTCTTTAATTTAAAACTCGATGATTTATGTTTTGTTATGATTTTTATCAAAACAATTCTGTGTCGAATTTGTTCGAAAAGACTATTGTTCTAGTATGTAAATTTTGAACTAGTATTATTTATGCCTAATGGTGAATAAAAAAATAGATTTAATTTTTAGATTTTTGAGGAAGGGTTTCAACTAGTATCCAGTCCAACAATTTTATATATTTTATAAATATTATTAATAAATTATGATTATAATTACAAAAACAATAAAATATGTATCTCAAATAAAAAATTACATTCTTTATGATTGAAAAATTGAAATTAAAAAAAATATGTTTCTTCGAAGAATTTTTTATTAAACACATATTGTTTTCTAGTTTAAAAGTTTATAGGTAGCTCCTGAAATAAGCTATAATTATCAGGACATAGTATTTAAAGCAGCAGGTATGTTAGGTTTATGATTTGATCTTAATTCTAAAATGACCGATTTCTTGAAAAACAGTTCAGATTAGTTTTCGCTAATGTTATTAACCATTAATCATGTTTGATTAAATTTCTTTATTTCTTATCATAGCTTAGGAAAGCTACTTAGATAATCGAAAAATAACTTTCTAAAAGTAACGGCTAGACTCGATTTCCGATCGATGGATAGGACTACTTGAAAGTTTTAGAATACTTTTTTAAACCAAAAGTGTGCTCGGAAAAAAGTAAACACAAAAACATCATTGCAAAACAAATTCATTCCTATCTTCACGCAGTATCTAATAAATGTTTAAATTGTGTTAAAAAGTTTTTTTTTAATATAAAGTTTTTTTAAACTTCAGCTCTATTGTGGCTATAATCATTTTTATACTAAATATAATTACTAAATTGACTATTTCTTTTTTTTCTGTGTAATATGTAGTGAATTCACCGACAATTCTAGAAGAAATTATAGCAGTTATATATTGAACATACATCTATATACCTTTATTAATTGTGTAGTGTAGTTTAAAACAGTATATTTTTGCGATTATTTTATGAATAGAGATATTTTTTTAATGTGTTTGTGTCGGTTTAGTCACATAAACACTTTCACTTAACTCACGTGCACACTGTGATGAACTAGACCGAAAGTGGTCTTTTTCCGAGCACACCCCTTTGACGTCCGATCGTCGATAAGCTCGTATAAATAATTCCCAAATGACCTGAAAAAGGAAATCAATATAACTATTCATCTATACGTCGTATGCTATGCTTCAAATGTGCGGCCTATGGTTTAGGTATGTTTATTAAAATGCACGTTATGTTGTGGCATTATTTTTTAACCCCAAACACGATACGCACCTACGCGTTGTCTAACACTTATGAGAAAATGTTTGAAGGTGTTATAATAAGCAGACCACATTGTGACGTGGAATGACTAATGGGAAATTAAATTTTGTATCATATACCTATTCAATTTCCATCCGTACATAATTGCCATGGCTAAATCATTTGGAGTATACTAGCTATATTATGTTTGTATCTATCTGCCTATCCATCTATCTATATTATAGTATGTATATATATACCATTATATTTAAATTATTCATACATTCAGGCTGCTTGTCGATAAATTTTAATAACTCCTGTCGTGTACAAGCGCTTTGAACAGAGCTTTCCCAAAAGCTGAATTATAATAATTGCTCGCCTCTGTTTATTCTCACGTGCGTTACATGTTACACTACTGGGTATGTTCGGTTTTATTGATTTCGAAAACTAAAATTCGATAGAAAATAAATAGATAGATACATGGATCAAATGCATAGATATTATAATAATATTAAGTTCCATAATAACTTAAGCCATTCGTGTATCATATTTAAAATATTGTGTTTAAAACTTAAATTGTAAAGTATATTTAGAATCTCAGATAACCTGAGGAGTTGGGGAGTGTAAAAAAATAAAAATAAATAATAAATAATATGTTCTGTAATTCATTTACAATTATATTTAATGTGTAGAAATCATAAATACAAATGCGTTACAATAATAAATTTTACCTTATCAGTTTCTATTCACATGCCTTAATCGAAATCAAAAATGCGCATATTACAATACATTTAAGATACGTCATACATATTTTTGATGCCGAAATCATAAGACCCACTCAAGGCCAATGCACATACAATTAGGTATGTCTTATGAATAAGGTAACACGATCGATAATTTAGTTTTATTTAGATTTATTAACATACAACGATATTGTAAACAAGAACCTACCTTCTTCCTTATAAGTTATGTATAGGCACTGTAGATTTGTATTTTAAATACATAATTAAAATGTTATAGGTTATTATAAAATATAAATGATACTTACCCAAATAAATACAGTTATCGGGAATTTATAACTTGTAAACACAATTTTATTCTATTATTTTAAAATCTAACTGTAGGTATATATTTTTATATTTTTTAAGTTTATCTTAATACGAAACAAATAATGAAAAAAAATGGTAAGTATCTCAGCTGAATGTTTGGTGTCAAGTGTACCTTGTAATTGTATGACCTACTGGATGTGTAAAATTTGCATTCAATCAAAAATCATCTCATACCAAAAACGATTCTTAGCGAAGACGATCAGCTTATATTACTGAGGATATATTAATAATACAGCTATAAGTAGTATATTTTTTTCTATTAGTAAATACTTCAGTATGTTGAACTCAATTTACCAAATACAAATCTCATAATATATTTTGCATTCAAATATAAATAAATGTTATTTGATATTACTTGCTGTTATTAATTTAAAATACAATACCATCATTCCAAAGTACCGTAGAATAGGTTCGTAATATAAATAACTTAAAACTAATCTAAATATTTTGAAAATTTGGCCAAGCATAGTAAATAGTAATAATACCTATATGCAATAGTAACATTTTTTAAGTCATAATGAATACAATTTTTTGAATTAAAATGATGAAATATCCAATTTCAACATAATTTTAACTTAAAATGTCTATAAAATATGTGCAAATGTATTTTTTGTTCAGCAGTTTTTAGGTTGCTGTAAGAACAACAACTTATAAGGAACTATAAATTAAGTTTTCAAGCCTAGTATTAGGTTATAAATTCGAATATAATTAATTAATTAATTGATTATAATATTTCAATTATAATATTATGATTTAGTGAGATTAGTATTTTTGATATTTTTAAAATCATTCTCATGTATGCTTAATGGGTTTTTTTTATATTACATTTTCAAGCTTATTGTGGCCTAGCATAGTTATTAGTATTTACTGTTAAAAAAAAAAACTAAGTATGTAGACAATTTCAAATGTCAAAAAATCGCTTAAAATTTTTGCAAAAAAATCTATGCTTATCGAACAATAGTAACCTCAGGGGGTATGATTCAGCAGAAATGGATGTGGTGAGCTCTCCGGAGCATCACTATTTTATTATTTCAACATCTGCCAAACTTGGATTTTACAAAGATTAACTCGGTGAAGAAATTTTTTGGTTACGGCTGTTCTTCGAAAACAAAATCTGTCGATGAAAGTCGACGAGAACCGATTTAATCGAGGGATGTGGTCTGACTGAACCGGTAAAAATCTTAAATTACTCTTACATGAAACAGAATATAGAAAATGATAAGTGTTGTAGTTGAATCTTTTAATGTTTTTTTTATATAACAAAACGAAATAACAAAACTGTTTTCAAATAAATCATTTTGATTGTTTGAATATGTCGTAAAACTTCGAACGTTCATAAAAAATAAAAATGTACGTTTACCTTTTTTAAATTCCAATAAAAAAATGTACGAATCTTGTATTTTATTTTCAGGCTTTTTTCCTCACAAACACAACATCCAGAAATCGATAAAAAAAGATTCGTAGTTTCAAATGTCTATAATGGCACAAAATGAGGTTAACTATTTTGAAAATGATCTCATGTTCAGAAAATGCTAATATAAATATTCATTGAAAATTCCAAGTATCTACTTAATCTCTTGTGCGTTTATAGGCATTTAAAAATAAAATTAACACCGATTTCATAATTTTGTTCAATTCACGTCATATTTTCACTTATTGGACGCATTTAGAATAAAGGGCTTACAGAAATCTACCTACATTATGCATGACAACCATTATATAATCAAATGTATTGTTACTAATGCACGTTGGTCCGTATTACTATTTATGCATTTACACAGACAGTGCGTGACGATGAAACATTTTGGATGATTTATGAACTAGATATGAGTATAAATTATTTTTTTATTTTGTTTTGTTTTTTTTTATTAATAATACATCGTATTTTCAACCTATAATTGTTCATAATTATTTAAGAACATAATTGATTTTATATAATATGCTGCATCTATGATTTATTCACGAGGCAGGTATAGTATAATCGAACTATGATATCTATTGAAGGTATAATCATAATGTATAATTTGATGTAACTATTTATAGCTATGAGAATTTCGTGCTAGGGTTAGAAAATAATTATCTAGAATATAACATTCAGTATAGGTATCTATAAGTTAAAAAATAAATAAATCCAATTTCACGTATTATATATTTTGGCAGCATAACTGTAACCTCAAATCTATTACAGTACATCAGTTAACAAATTAAAAATTTAATATTTACATTTTAAATTGTTTCACAATAAATTATAATTATTTACTGCGTACCATTTTTATTTGTTACTTATTTCGAATTTGACTAGTGGCAATTTATAAACAATCATATTTATGTTGAAATTTCTGCATTTTATTTGTTTATTTATGTAACCACGTTTACAGAAAAAGAAAGTTTTATATTTGTGTTTCATATTTTGACTTATAATCGAATTTATTATTTTTTAAGTAAAAAGCTGACCCTAGATGTGTATCTTTCATTTTCTTTATTTCACATTTTGTATTTTAGTACTTAAAGCCAACAGGAATTGATAACCAAAAAAAATCGATCGATTTATTTATTTACCTTGCAACGAATTTATATTTATTATTATTTATTTATTGAATCATCTTTACACAATATATTAATAATTACTTAATAATTGCAAAGTATATAAATTGAAAATACATTTTAGTATATCCTTCCGCTCAGAATCTTAAATTACATCAAGCTTAGGTACTTCATAGTATATCTCCTCAATATTACGAAAAGAACTGATAAAGTAAAATATCACAGTTAGTAAACTGTTTAGGAGTTTTATTTTTGTCAATATAATTTTATTTTTTTATATTGCAGTACGTTTCAAAATATTTCTTTACTTATAGAACAATAATATTATTATTTAAGTTCAATCATAATGCTTAAAAGGAAAGTAATTAGTTAAATATAAGCTACTTGGCTTGTAGTATTATTGCGATGGGTGTAATTTATCTTTTAGGAAATAAGTAAGACAACGCCCTTTTCGGCGTTATAAAATAATGTTTTTACGTGTGCATTTTAGAACATAAATGATCACAAATAATTAAAATAAAACCGTATATTATAATATATTTAATTTTAGAAAGTTTTTTATTTTTACATATTACATATCATATAAATGTTTTCTGCGGAGTAATTCTAATATAATTATTAATAAATAAAATACCTAATATTATTGTTACCCATTAATTATTGACGTTACGTTGTTTCTATATTACAATTTATATAATACTATAAGAATAGTAAATTAATAACTTTGTGGAAAACAGTAAGGTGTTATGTGGTAAAACAACCTATAATATAATATGAATTACGATGATTACTATTTACTCAGAAATGCCGAGATTTGTAGGAATACTAAGTTATTTTTTGTTTTTAGTGTTTACTTTCATGTTATAAATTATAATTGGCAGAAATATTTGAAATTGACATTAATACTTTTAATAAATATTACAATTAAAGTTGGGATATATGAGAATTGAAATATGAAGTCAATAGTAAGTACAATGTTTCGATTTAAAATCAAGTTTCTGATTGTTTCGAAACCGTAGTTGAAGAACATTGTGAGAAACAGATCCTGCGGCTATACTAAAAGCTATATATATTATGAGAGTACAAGGAAATAGACTTTACAATGCCATCACATTGTAACTTTAAAGTTGTTTGGGTTACTTATAGTTTTCATCAGATTTTTAAAAATGTAATAAACCATTTTGAATAGCTTTTATTTACTGTTTAAACCTTTAAATTAATTGAAACACTTGAATGTTGAACCTCTATAATATTATTATTTTATAAACAATTTAAATGTCTTAACTAGTTTATAAATTACAAATAAATGTCGGACTGGATTCCAAACTTTATTTAATTACTATTTACTAATGATGGCATGATGGCGGACCTCTTATAAGTGTATATCGTAACACTGTTATGCATTTCTACAGTCATAGTCTTATAATATGCACCTTGTTCGTTTAAGTACAATATTTTGAAAATAGAGGTATTAGTGAGTGGTGACATAGTTCAAACATAAAATAATAAATGCATTGTGGTATTTAACTGGTACTAAGTACAGCTGGCATTCAATTATAAACTTAAAATATTTATTATATTTATCTGTTTTTTTTCTTTGATTTTACTATAATATCGTATATTGTACAGATCCGTTTACGGATTCACGTACAAATTATATTTTTCAATAAAAAAACCTCAAAATTAAGCCCAATATCGGTTTATGTGTAAGTCTATTCGTCGTGTGCAGAAAACTTAATGGAAAATAATTTCAATACTGGCATGCATAAACCAAAGTTCACCATCAAAGCTCTTTCAGTAATCCATTTTTAATTTGATATTATATCCAGCTCCGATTTATGCTAAACATGGGTATATATTTCCTCGTGAAATTGTATTTATGAATAAAACACTTATGTGTTTTTATAAGGATAACGTAAAAATAATGATTTATTTTACACCTTCAAAAACGGTTGAATAAAAAATATTTATATATTATATTATATAAGTATTGATATTAATGATACTAAACATATTGATTTTTTATGTACGTTGAAAAATATAAAATATAGTGTTATTTTTAATAAATGAAATTTCAAGTCGTTAAACTACATTTAGGAAAATTCGTGTTTGAATAACTTTTTGATACACAGTTCGATTTTTATTATTCCATAATTTAAATAATTTTTAAAAAGGTTTTATTGTTTTAACAATTTGAAGTAGAATGTTTTGTTTTACATAATATTATTCAAGACTCTTGTCGAAATTAATATCTCATAATAAATTGTTAACAACGAATTAAAATATAATGAATATAATATAAAGTTATACATTGCTATAATCACATCACACCATGGCTGTATTCACAAATTTATTTAATTGTACTTCACACAAATATTTATCTTGAACAGTTTTTTTAATATTATATAAGTAACAAATCGATTACTTCTTGCATTATTGCGTCATTTAGAGACGGTGATATCTATTTATAATTTATAATTTATATGAGAAATATGTAGATTATTATAATGATAGTAAAAAATATTAATACCCAAGTAAAAAAATTACCATAATTTAACATTATTCTCTTTATACATATATATATTATATATAGGTATACTTATTTATTTAAAATATCCAGAACCCAAGTGCAATAAATTCTAAAACATATTTTTTATTATTTTTACTTCAATTTTTGAAATAAACAACCACGTTGATGGATAGTGCATGCTTTAACAATCTTGAATTTAATGTTTTATGTTTCAACTTGTATAAAATTAAAATTTCAATTGGTAATACAAAATGATCCTAAATGGGGTTTTAAGTTGGAAAATACTATAGCACTAATACCTATCAACGTTTTAAATTATTAGATAAAATATTTCTTCAAAAAAAAAATGTGGAATTATGTATATGACGTGTAGTGTGAGCTTTATGGGTAGGAGGTTTTGCTCTTCCCTCTACATACGTTAATAAATGTAATAATGCACACCAAATTCTAATTATTATTTAACTTAAATATAATTTTATATTTTTAGTTATTTTTAAGAGAAACCTCTGGCAACTGAGTCATTAGGCCTTTGTATTTGAAAACTATTTATGGTCGACGATGTATGGGTTTTTTCAATTATTATAAAATCTCTTGAATTAAGTTATTTTACTGAATGTATAAAAAAAATATATACATAGTTTAAATTAAAAATGTCTGTTAAAAGATAACAATGTTATATTTATTTAGATAAATTTAATCAAATATATTTTTAGATATAATATTATACTGGTAGTACAGTGTACACACTTCTTATTTTTTGTTTCTTTCGTAGGTATAAGGTTTTAATTTTATGATATTTTATTTATTGAAGCGTTATGATAAATCTTCTATAATGAAATATTTAATTAATAATTAATTTATAGATAGGTATTCATTTAAATAAAATAACTCACGTGAAAAGCAATTACTCGGGATTTAATAAGGCATTCGAGAAAAAATCTTGAAAATTGGTATGACTGAATAGCTTTTGTTTGAATGATATAGAATCACTTATTACTCGTTTAAAAATTCTGTTTAAATAGGTACTGAGTTAGCCCCTGTCCACGCAATACTATACGCCCTTCGGAAAGACCATATACACTCGGTACTTACACTCGTCATATGCAAATATTGGTGACATTATTTTAAATAAATTTCCTACAATAGGTTAACAAGAATATACGTATTAGCACGTTGGACGCAAACACTTCAAGTGGTACTCGTTTCACCTCAGTGCATGATATTAGGGTGTTAAAAATTATAAATAAAAAAACTTGTGATAATGATTCAAAACGATTTTGAGTAGATCTTATGGTGTAGGCACTTCATTTTTCATGGGAGGTTTCTACAGTTTCATGATAGGGACTCTTAAAAATAATTAATGAGATACGATTTTCAACAATTTATTATTAAATATAATTAAATATATTATGAC